AACAACATATTTTAATTATTTATGTCCTCAAACAAATTTATTATATTGACAGTAAATCAGTATAAGCTAAAGCTTTGCATAAATTTTAAATTATTTATTTTTAAATAAAAGATTTATTAAAATAATAGTCAAATGGATGATTGGCCATTTGCAAAATTACTCTGCTGAAGTACTGATATGATTGAAATGGTTTAACGTATGTTTTTAAGGATACAAATAATTATTTTTAATTGTAAATTGACTTGACGCAACAATATTTCAGTTAAAACAAATTTTTTTCAAAAATTGCTTGAAAAACGGATTTTGACACTATAAGGTAATTTCTCGAAATACGATATTTTGTAGAAGGGAAAGTATAATAAAGATGAAAGCATAAGGTATAAAAAACAATGATTATCACTAAAATTCCTGATGACAAGACTAATACTCAGAGAACATTTGTCATTTTGGATTATATCATATTACATTAAATCGAAAATACTAAAAACTATACTAATGACCACTTGTGATGAATTATATGAGGTAAATATTTATTTATAAGTGTTGTTATACTTATTGTCCTGTGAGTTATCAATGTCATATGTATTGAAATTTTGCGAATTAAAGCCTAATTAATTAGGAGACCGATTACAATTTAATTACCTAAAATTTTAATTCTGGAAAGATATACAAGGCCAGAGAATTTTAACGTCTATTCTGCTGCTACCTCGGCATCTCAGCAATGTAGGTATGCTTTTGAAAACTTTTTTATCAACAGAGACTTGTGATTTTACTACGGGAAAAACTTAAATTACAGTTGTTGGTAAATCATGTTACATCTAACATGTACTGATTTATAAGTGAACGCCATTAATATAAGTAAGCCATATCTAGACTTGAAGCAATTTTTACTAGACAATATTCTTGCTATTCGAAAACAACAAAGTATAATAAAACTATAGAGTAGTATTTAAATGCTCTCAAATTATTAGAAAGAGATTGTGATTTTATATTTGTGATGCATTTATAGACAACAAAAGATCAGACTGAGACTTTTACAAAATATATCTTTAACATTAGATGAGACTTAAGTCAAGCTCAATGTATAGAAAGTATAAAATTTTTTGTTCTCACTAAACATTATTTCTTTGTTAATAGTTTGTTATAGGAAATAAATTAATGATGATAAAGAAACTTCTGACAGTAACATATTAAATATTATTGAAAAGAGAAAAATTTAAGGAAGCTAAGTATGCACTAATATAAAACGGTGTTCCATTAAAAAAAAAATTTCTTTAATTTAGTGATTTCCATTATTCAATTGTTTTTTCTAATACTGTATTAGAAAAATTCATAAAAAAGCTAAAACTTGTCGGATTATAGTGACTAACCCTGTACAAAAAATGAAAAAAACAAAAATGAAACTACTGCATCTAACAACTGTTACTTCTGTGTGGAAATTTCTGAATCATTGCTTCGTCAATCCATGTCAGTCATCGAATAATAATTGGAAGTTCGAAACAAGTTATGATTTTGACACATTACTTTGGGAACTTAAATTTCAATTTTTAAACAAGAAAAATAGTTGTTGCGAGAGTAATTGATTAGTTTGAGTTGTATAATTTGTTGTCTTTTTTGTTCTAAATCCAAAAATTAACATAAACTTGTGTTTTCAAGTTTTGTTTTCGAGAAACAGGGTGTTAAAGTTAATGAAAAACACTTTTTTCAAATATCTCGAAAATAGTTTTGCCGATTTTCATAAAACTTTGCACTTTTTTAGTAATAAGCAAGGGGTTAGGGCATCATAACTAGGTATTTTATAGAAAAAGTTGAGCACACCACTGCTTTTTTATAAATTGTTTTTATAAGTTATACTATTTTTAGAATGAGTAACAAAAAATATTTTTTTTACCTTTTTCAATTTTTATTAATTAAATTAAATGAATTTTTCGAATAAACGATTTTTTTTTATTAAAAGTGAGCAAGACAAAGACAAAAATGCAATCATGTAAACTTTTTTATTTATTTTTTATTTCTATTAACTTCAAAAAAAAACTTCAAAACACACAAGTTCATATGTATGAACTTTTCCTTTTATTTTCACGAGTTCTACCCCTCAAATAAATTTTCCCGATTAAAACCTGAGACACCCTGGCAATTACAAACAAATTCACATGATTTCTCGATTAATCGTACGCCCACGCATATGTCGCCCCGCTCTCCCCCATCACGATTCCGTTATCATCAACAGAAATAGGCCGGCACCGATCACCCGGGGACACATTTCATACCCAAATCGTAACAAAGAAACCCCCGCACAATATGATCCAATCGCGACTTTTATCTCATCCCAAAATCGAAGCCCCCGAACATCGGAAACATCCTGGGGCGGTTCATTGAATTCCGTTTTGAAACACAATTACTGTACATACTTGCAGAAATCGGTTGGATAAGGACGAAATAGAAATCGGAAATAGTCAAAATACTACGTTGACGTCGAGATATCACTCTTAAAAACGTGAATGTAATGTTTTTCATTTCATACATAAACTAACTCGTAAACAAAGCTTTCATCTTTCATCACAACGATTACATCAACATGTGGTAATCGGTATAAAATACGATTTCAGCTCACATATTACAATCTACTTTATCAACAGATGCTACGTTTATCTTGTCATATAGACCAGGAAAATAAGCTGGGATATGACCATTTCGCGACTTGTTTCGGGAAGCTGAATTTATCACTATAGATGCTAAATAACGAGCGTTCAAATAAAAACGTGGTCAAGTTGGGTCTGAAAATTTGGACGTAGGGCGTAGTGTATAGCAAATGAACTTAAACGTCATCTGTCAAAGCGCTATATCGCCGCTATCAATTTGAATATTTTCGTTTTAAAAAGCGTTTAAAATGGTGTTTTCTCAAGAACAAAAAGTGTTTATCATAGAGTCCTACTTTAGAAATGGACGCAAGATTGATGGAATATGGAAGTATTCTATTGAGGAATGTTTCATAGAATTTCAAAATCAATTTCCCGGCGTTGTTGAGTACAAAATTTTTCAAAGTGCAGTTCAGCGTTGTGTTAATGTTTTTCGTGAAACGGGCAGTGTAACAAGAAAAGAAGGAAGCGGCCGACCTACAAAGTGGACTGAAGAATTAAAAGAAAATGTCCAACAAATAATGGAAAATGCGCCAAGAACTTCTGTACGTGTTTTATTACAAATGGTGGGAGTATCAGTCGGTACCTGCCACACAGTGTTAAAAAATGATTTGCGTTTGTTCTCCTATCGTTTAACTTGTCAGCAAGAACTTCATGAAGTTGATTTTCCGCGACGGGCTGTATTTTGTGAATGGTTTTTAAACAACTACGGTGAACTTCATAATATCACCTTTTTTTCTGATGAAGCCTGGTTTCATTTAAGTGGTTACGTAAACTCACAGAATATGAGAATGTGGTCTTCTGAAAAACCAGATAACTTTTTTGTCGAGGGCCCTCTACACGCTCAAAAAATTGGAGTTTGGTGTGCTCTCAATCGAAGGAGGATTTATGGACCTATTTTTTTTAATGGTACTCTTACTGCGCAAAGGTATAGAGAAGAAATTATCGCTCCTTTTGTTAACCAGCTGGAAGAAAACGAAATTACAAACTTTTATTTTCAACAAGATGGCGCAAGGGAACATACGGCAGGCGAGACGATGAATGTGTTGAGGGAAGTTTTCCAAAATCGACTAATAAGTCTCAATGCTGAACATGAATTTCCACCGAGGTCATGTGATATTACGCCGTGTGATTTCTTTTTGTGGCCTTACCTTAAAAACACTATTTTTGAACTGCCTATTCCTGATTTAAACCATCTGCAGGCTCGACTTATAGACAAGATTCGTGAAATTAACAATACCTCGAGCACCTTAGAAAATGTCTTTTTAATTCTTTGAGGAACAGGTGTGAAAAGTGCTTGGAATAAGGAGGGGGACACTTTCCGCAGCTATATAGTCATTAACGTTATTGAAACTGACAGCTGCTATACAGCTCGTTGAGAAATGAGGTTAAGTTGGTCGCTATAAGCTACTCCCTACGTCCAATGTGTCAGAGCCAACTTCGACCACGTTTTTATTTGAACGCTCGTTATTATGTACAATAACATATTAGTTTCCACAGTCATAAAAATGGGGGGAAGATTGTTTACAGGGTGGTTAATTGTATAATTTTTAGGTAAATTCACGTTTTTTGCTTATAACTTTTTTCCGTTCATTTCCAAAGTTTTGCTTATCTTGGGAAGCCATGGGCATAATTAAATATGTAATAAAATGTACAGGGCGTCCAAAAAATTTCAAAATGTGAAATTTTCCCTGAGTGAAGCTCCCTTAATTTTTGTTTGATATAAGTAAATGATCAATCGTAGAAACTAGTTTTATATAATATTTGATTACTGCCGATGGCTTCCCACGATAAGCAAAACTTTTTATCAAAAATTACTTTGTCTCAAGAAATCAACAATAAAAAAGTTTACAAGAGTGCGGTACGTCATCTGGGGACACACTGTATTTAGAATAGACATAGACCACCCAAAGTTTCTAAGGCCATAATGGCTTGTCGTTTCGCATTATCATATGATAAGAAAAATATAGTCGACTGCAACATCTGCCAAACATATTTGGCTCGAATTGTTGGTGATTTGATACTAGTCAGCCTCTGTAGGAATTCTGAAATCTCTACTACGACTCACTCTTATTAACATAAATAGTATTTCATTAAAAATGGGACACAACATAATGGATGTGTAGCAACGTAGTGCTTTAATAAAAAAAGTATCAACAATATAAGAAAACAAAATTTATTCCTTATTTTAACAGTAGTTAGAAGCCGTTTTCAAAAAAAATATTGTTTGATAGGCAGTTGAAATGTCGCTTATGCATTCCCATACGCTTTTTTAACTCGCAGGCGTTAAAAAAATGCAAAACCGATATATTGCGACCCAGATCCAAAAACAACTATTTTAGTATAAACTTATTTACTTACCCATTACTTTGATATTCGTGTTACGGCCTACCGAGACCACTGTTACTTTCAAATATCCGGCTGAATTTTTTTTTTCAAACATAATTCACCTATTAATCGCACAGTTAATGAGTGAACAAGAGATATTTAAAAATCAATCGGTAACTCAACGCGCAGAGACGAATAATTGTCAAGATGCGACAAGGTCGGAATAATCGCTGATTCAGAAAATTGTGCTACCTAGTACAACGTCACTTTCGTGAATTAAAATGATCTAATGCTCCGCCAATTTACTTGTAATACCTGCATATCTTAACCAGTCGCTGACTAACCGGAGAATTCTTGAAATAACAATAAATTTCATTTATTTTTTTTTAGTTGGAACCGACTAATCCTTCAGAAGTAGGTATCCAATAGCTTTAGGTTAGTATAAAGGTAAAAATGCTATACGTACTTTTAACAGAACTAAACTAGTCAAAAAAAATTAAAGGGTCAAAGAATCCTAAATTTTTAGGTGATTTTCAAAAGGTTGAGAAATAAAAAAAGCAAACTGAAGCTGACGGATGGGATTGCCAAAAAAAATATTTATTTAAGCTTGTGGACCTTTTGAAAGGAAAGCAAAAATACGACCTTTCTTCGTCTACTTACAGCCTTTTGAAAACCACCTAAAATTTAGAATTTTTTTATCCCTTATTTTTTTCTGACTAGTGTATTATAAAAATCACAACCTCGTAACTTAAAAAGCTTTTGCATTTGTGCCTACATAGACGATCGATGCTCAGCTTGATTGGAGAATTTCAAAGAAAACCGTCACGTAAGATGATTAAAAATAGCGCAAACCGTACCGAAAGTTGATGTATACAAGCTTATGTGTCTTTGTGGATAAGAGGCATCGAAATAAATAATTTAACGGTAGCGACTCTAAGTTGCGTCCTGTCAAAGTCTAAAGTGGAGGGACCGAAAATAAACATGCGATGAATATAGATGCAGACAGGGTGGATTAATCAAAACAGAAATAAAATACGACGGATATTTAGATTGGGACTTACGAAAACAACAATGATCTAGTGCTCTAGTGTATAATTTTACATAAAATTGTTACGATTGTACACCCTTTACGAAATTGATCAGAAAACGGAATTTGAAACGTTCAAGTCAAAAAACTCGCCCGCAACGAGAGCGGGGCTCACACGCCTGCGCGAGCTCGACACTCCTTTTCCCGCATGCAGACCGTTCATTAACGTTAACTTTTACTGCTGCTAGCGCGTTTATTACATGAACTATTAACGTAAAACTTTCTGAAAATAAAAGTTTAACTAATTATCTCTAAAATCCCGGTCCGATATGTAGGTTAATTAACAATTAGTTATAAAAAAGCTATCTTGGAAACAAAGAGGTGTAGGTGATTTCACTTTTTTTTAATTACCGTAAAAATAGGCTCTATTTAATGCAAAAAGAGCGAATTCCCGAGCGGCTTCTGCCTGACCTTGGGAAAATTTGTTTATAAAGCTGTTTTCCTCCTACTTTGTTAGTTGTAAAAGGGTACTTAATTTCAACTTTTTGAAATTCTTCTTTTTCGGTGCGTTTCTTTGGATCAATCAGAACCTATAGCTACGATATTAACTTTTAAAATTAACGTTTAATAATTAAACAATTAGTTGTAAAAAAAACGAACTAAATTAATTAACAAATACCTGCAGCAACAATTTCACAGTCAATCGAATCGATCTTTGACACACATTTGTCTTTGGATTGACCGTCTTTTCCATACATTTCATCAACATCCATCGCTCTTTGCAATAATAATGTGCAATTTTCCAAAACTGATTTTTCCGAGTTTAACCTTTATTTTACAGTTAACAAATTGGTGAAATATGACTTTAGGTACCTTAAATTGTAGGTAATTGCCTACAACAAAAAACAAGTAATTTTCTGATAGGTCGTCTAGATGTTCGTAGGCAGTAAAAAAAGTGAAAAAACACGTAAATTTGTTCACGTTCAAGCTCTGGATTCGATTGGAGTACTTATAAAAATGTAAATGCTGCTATTTTGTAATCTGAGGACATTTTTCCTTATCCACCCTGACACGTAAACCATAATGACTTGACACAGGTCTACTTGTAGCAGTTTTATGTGATACGGTTTCTTATTCTATTATATGGGGCTTTGATAATTTTAATATACTCGCTTTGAAATGTTATCTGAGTAGTATTATACGAGCTGCGGTAGTACAAATTTATTTTTATTGTTATTTTGTTTCATCTTATTGTAAGCGTTGACCAAAGAGTAAAAGATACTTGGCTTTCTACCGGTAACAAACGGAAAATAATGATATTTACGAAAAATGTATGACTTTAACAAAAACCGACTAAAATTTAACCAAGATAAGAGCACATTAATAATTAAAAGTAATCAAGATAATCGTGAAAAAATAAATTTTAAACCTATTTATGAAAAAAAAAGTTAATCTCACCCTCTGCTTACCAGTATAGCTTCTGAACATTTATTTGTACATCTGTTTCGACTATGTCATTATTTGATGAAAATTACCTGAAACAAAGAAAAATACGTTAAGCATATAAAGAAACTTTAGTGTTTCTAAAAACATAATAATTCGAAAGCAACTACAAATAACGTTACACCAACAACAGGAAATATTTAAACACTTATGCAATGCAATTTTTAAGAATAATAAATGGTGGTGGCCCCAGATCTGTGCCTTGGTGTACGCTAGGAAAAAACTTTAATTTTGCTATGAAGTCATTGTTTTAAAGCAGTATGTATTCTCTCTATAGTTTTGTAACAAGAAAACTTTTAATATATACAAAGTAATGTTACGTATTACGTTACTGTCGATACCCCTGGCATTTTTGTCTCTTGTTTCAAAAGAGATCTGATGGATTTTATGGCAGTCGTAAAATTTCAGACAGCTAGACGGCTTTTTATGTCTTTCTAACGCCCTAGTAAAAACAAAATGAGGATAACAACCAGTACAATTGTAGAAAATTCTTCAATTACGCCAGTTTAAAGGGGGATCAGTTACAAATGGCACGGCAGACAAAAGAAATCTCAGCGAAATTGATTTTCAATTTCTCGACGGACTTTGTATTTCTTTCAAAAGGTCGTTGCTAGACGAAATCGAGAGACCAAAAATAAAAAAGGAAAATAAACCCAAATAAGTAGGAATTGTATTATGAAGTTCTGCAATAATTTTATAGTTTTTCTCGTAAAGTAGTGAAAGAGGAAATTGTGCAAAGATACAATATATGTTAAAATAATCATCGTAATTCAATAACTTCAATAATAACACGCTATACAGGGAGATTCAGTCATAATGTCACGTATTCGGTAGGCCTAATAAAGACAGAAAATCCAAAAAAAGTTATACTCTACCTTTTAAAAAATAAGCAAATTACAAACTCGTCGGCGGCTGAACGTTGAAGTGAAACAGCTGATATCCCGTCGTCTCAAATTTTGCAATTGGTTTCAAAATCAAATTCAGTGGATCATCATTTTATTAACAAGGTGCTACGGACACATGAGTGTAGTTGTAGCCGTACTGTCTTTTAAAAAGGTAGATATCATACTACTGTGAAAAGCAATAAATCACACAATAACGTATATGTACTACAAACTGAATAATTCACTGAAAATAATACTAAAAACTCATATTCAATTATAAAACAGAGAAAACGTACAATAATGTAAATTCTAAATTGCAATAATCTAACATTCGAAAACAATTATTATCGTTATACACTTGTTTTTATAATAGTATATTTAAAATGTAAAAAATACATTATTCATTCATGCGTCAAGATAAAAAGGTCTGTTTTTGTCGTTCACTATTAAAAACACAGTAAAAGCTAGGTTAATGACCGAATACGGTAGCTCAAATTCACTCTCGATAAACCTTTGTAGGTCAGCGCTCAGGAGCGGTCCAAAAAAGGGTTTAAATAATGATTTGAAAATATTTTTTCAACGCAGGTATGCATTTATTTTTTTTTTAATATAATATTCGTATTCAACTAATGTTTTCCAATCTTTCCTTGGAATTAATGACATTACGACTGAATCACCCTGTATAATAAAGTTAAATAATAATTCTAGCACACGTGCTCGTCAAACTTGACATCACATTGGACAAATTATCCTAAGTGTGTTTTGAGGTTCACTTCGAGGACAATCATTCAAATGGTAGGTTGTGACGTTAGTTGTAATTCTGTCAATTGCAGATACGAACACAATGATATAATAATACCGTAGCCCCGCCAAGGGTCCTCTTCAATTACGTTCCGTGTCCCAGATCAAGCCACTGATTTAAATAAATAGGGCAGCTGCAACAAATCCTGGAAAAACTGTGTTTGCCACTGAAATTGAAGTAGGTAAATTATATAATCCCCAAGAAAATGAACTAATACTGCACTAACCACAAAAATTAAGGAATAAAACAAATCCTAAACCTTTAGGTGACTTTCAAAAGGCTGTAATTTGAAGAAAAATGGTCGTAGAGCAATGAAAAAAAAAGCGAATTGAAACTTGAGGTTTCTAGTTTCAGGATCTGTGTCAAAAGTTTTTATCACTAACCACGTTTAAGAAATCATAAGAAATTCTGTGGAAAAAAAATTTCAAAATGTATGCTTGCCTTTCGAAAGGTCCACAGACTTTAATCAACTTCCACAGTAGAAATATACTGATTGTCCCATTTGAAATAACCAAGTTATTGCTGTTTAAAGTTGAGAGAAGTATTCAGCAGTTTTTTGAACACCCTGTACAATACTAAGTGACGACAAATATAATAATTTATAATTTCAAGGATCTAAAATACACTTTCCAAAGTTGCTTTCTTAAAATTATTTTTTTATGGCTAATATTAAATTTCTACGCTAAGCCTGAATTTTCACTAAACTTGAAATATCTCACAAACCATAAGTCCTAGGTATGCAGAACCTTTAATAAAGTTCACCTATTTTTTTACGGTGCTTTCAAAAGTGCAGTAAAATACAGGGTGTTCCATTTAAAAATACATAACTTTGGTACGCCTTTCCTGGACACCCTGTATATTTCAAAATATTTTTAAAATGTAGTAAAAAATCTGTTCTGACCAATGTTTCGACTAGTTTTCACGGTAATAGTGGTTTTTCTCATGGGTAAATTCGAGGGTAAATTT